AAAAAGTCACTGTTGTTTTTGTTTTGCAGTTTATTGAAGGTGACTTTGAGGATTACCTGTGCAAGCTTCAGGATCCACAGGTAAAAACACCACACGCTCTTATTGTTCTCACATGCTGGGTCATTTTAATATGGAAGCTCATAAAGTTTCTCTGTTTTCCAGCAATGGGTGGGAGAGGTGGAGATCAACGCGCTGGCCGCCATGTACAAGTGAGTGAGATCAGAGGTCTCTGAACAGAGAGCTGCACTTTAACTCGACAGAAAGCCTAGTGGGAGTTCCCACAGTGTTTGAGATTTATTTAAGTATTCACTGTGGATAATAAAGCTTTACGCTCACTGGCCACTTCATTAAGTATACCTATTTAAATGCTCGTTAACACAAATGTCTAATCAGCCAATCACATGAAAGCAGCTCTGTCTGTTTGTGTGGAGAAATGGTGAAGACGACCTGCTGAAGTTCAGTCTGAGCATCAGAATGAGGAAGAACGGTGATTTAAGTGACTTTGAGCGTATTGTGGTTGTTCGCCTGAGTAGTTCAGAAACTGCTGATCTGCTGGGATTTTCCCCGACAACCATCTCTGTGGTTTACAGAGAATAATTCAAAACTGACAGAATATGCAGAGAACGCCTTGTTTATGTCAGATTTAAGAGGAGAATGCTGATAGGAAGGCAACAGTAACCCACATAAGCACTCATATTCCAACCAAGGTATGCAGAAGAGCATCAACACATTAAACCATGAGGCAGCAGAGGCCCACACTGGGTGTCACTCCTCCCAGCTAAGAACAGGAAGGTGAGGCTGAAATTCACACAAGCTGAACAAAAGTGGACAGTAGACAATTGTCTGGCCTGATGAGTCTCAATTTCCCCTCCAACATTCAGATGGTAGTGGTTTCTTAACCAGTTTATTATACTTACTGGCCTCCACAGTCACCAGACATCCAACAGAGGACCTTTAGGACGTGGTAGAAGCAGAGATTTACACGCGTAGCTGAAACCTCTGCAGTAACTGTGTGATGCTGTTGTGTCACTGAAGCCAAATCTCTGAGGATTGTTTCCAGCAGCCTTTTAAACCTCTGCCACGAAGAATTAAGGCAAACAGGTCCAGTCTGGCACTAACAAGGTGTATCTAATATAGTGGCCAGTGCAAATGTGATACTTGGATATTTTATTCACATAGTAACAATAATCACTAATTTATGAGACATTTATGTTTTGTTTTGTTGTTAAAAGCTAAAATCACCTCTGTCAGCATCCAGGTTTCAAACTAGTGTTTTTGAGTGTGTGCTGCTCCGAGCTTTCTTCCTCCAGTTTCATTGGTGCAGGTGATGAACAGAGGACCAATGCCGTGTGAGGTGTTTTTGATCATATGGCAGTGCAGTTTCTAAGCTCCGATAACGATGTGTGCAATG